ACAAAAATTTTATTAACAGGCCTGAAGCAAAAAAGCTGATATTCCCTTAAAGTATTTGTCAGGCTTTTAACCTTGAGATTAGAGACTGAAATGGTCAATTCAGAACCTCCACAGGACGTGTTTCAGGGCTCAAGACACAAAAGATTTTTCAGTCAGTGACCATGGACATTTGTGCTCCAAGAACAGGGTAAAATGAGAAGTTTTCAGTCTTCTCAAAACTAACCCGGGGGGTAGGGGGGTAGGGGGCAGTGCTTTGGCTTAACAAGTAAAGCCACCCACTACCTACAGTGCCGGGATCCCATATGGGCGCCAGTTCTAGTCCCAGTTGCTCCACTTCCAATCCAGCTCCCTGCTATGGCATGTGAAAGCAGTAGAAGATGACCCAAATCCTTGGGCCTCTGCACACACATGGGAGACCAGGAAGAATCTCCTATATCATGGCTTTGGATATGTTACATATGTAAATATTCTAGAAAATGTGACTGAAAAATCAAAGAGATTTAGCATATAGTAGAAGCAGATGCCAGGTGACCCAGACACTGGGGTTAGCAGAAAAGAACTTTGAAATTTCTAATTGTTCAAGAAATTAAAAGATAAACCAAAAAAAGTTTTAAATGAAGACTTTCGCCAGAGAACTGAATCTGTAAAGTGTCATTTGAACAGTCTAGGGCTGAAAACTTCAGTTTATAAAACTCAGAATCTAATAGATGGCTTTATAAGCAGATTAGATACAGCAGAAGGTAAGATTAGTGAATATGAAGACAGATTGGTAGAAAATTTCTGAAGCACATAGAGAAAAAATAACAGATAGGACAGGGAAAACATAAAAGCAGAGGAAAGAACCAAGTGGGATACAGCTAAAGGGCCTAATGTATTTCTGACCGGAGTCCTCCTGAGCATAGAAACTTCAGCCATTCTTGAAAAAGAACTAAATTGGAAGACTTACTGTAAATAAGACTGTAATTGAGTTGCAGGAATGGAGACGGGTAGAATTGCTGTGGAGCTACATTGTTCAGTATGAGCATTATCAGCCACATTTGGCTTTTGAGGACTTGATGAAGCTGGTCCAAATTGAGATGTTTTCTGAGTGTAAGATACATACTGTGTTTCTGAAGACTTAGATTGAAGAAAAGAATGTACAGGTATTATATTATTGAAATGACAATGTTTTGAATATATTGATTTAAATGAAATTTTTATTGTAGTCAGTCACATGTGTTTCTTTTAATGTGGCTTCTAGAAAATTTAAATGTGGCCTAATAACCTTGGTGTCAAAAAAGATTTCTTAAACTAGACACAGAAATACTAGTCATAAAAGATTAGTCAGGTAGATTGTATAGAATTTTTATTTAAAAATAGACAATTTTTTAAATATGCAGTTTCCTTTAAAACTAAACATGCCTACCCCATAACCCAGCATTTTCATTCTGGTATAAATCCAGGGTGATGTTTGCCAAAAAAAGGTACAATTTATATGAACTTTATGTGTAATATAAAAATTGAAACCTACTCAAATATTCCTCAACAGTAGAATGGATAAATAAATAGTGATATGTTTATATAACAAAACACTATGCAGGATTACAAAAAAAACGGACTATATACTATGGCTGATTCTCGAGTAATGCAAGTTTGAATTGCACAGGTCCAGTAATACACGAATTTTAATTTGCTCAAGATCTACAACAATTTGGAAAAACTCACAGATGTACTTTATAGCCTAGAAAATACTGAATAAAGTAAGAAAAAGTTGGGTATGTCATGAATGTATAAATTGTTGATAAGTCTATTTTAGCATTTACTACCATAAAATAAACACAGAAAGTTAAAATTTACCAAAGCTTACACAAATGCTTAGAGTTCATACATGGTGCCGTTTGCAGTCTAGAGAAATGTAAACAAACGTGAAGATGTGGCATTAAATCATAATGGCACAAAGTTAACTGTGGTGCATATTGTGCTACTGTAGTTATTTCATAGTCCCTCCTGCTGCTGTTGCAGGGAGTCAGGTCACACAGTGACTGCCAGCTGCTCAGGGGATTAGCACCTCTAGTCTCCATGCACTGCTTAAGAGCCAACTGTATGTAATTCCATTTATATCAAGTTTAATCATAGGCAAAACTAGTCTATGGTGGTAGAAGTCTGAATAGTGGTTACGTATAAAAGGGGCACTGAGTCTTCCAGATTATTGGAAAAGTTATGTAACTCTGGGTGGTAATTATGCAAGTATGTATTTGTATATGTAAAATTTTATTCAGATAAACATTTGAAATTTGTGTACACACTGTACTTATTCCAGATCTCAATATTTAAGCGTTATGTTAGAGCATGTCTGATAGTTCCCTGAGGATGAAAACTGTAAATCATTTGTTCATTTAAGACCAATACATAAGGACTGGCATTGTGGTATGGTGGGTTAAGCCACTACCTGTGATACCAGCATCCCATATGAGCTCTGGTTCAAGACCCAGCTGCTCCACTTTCAATCCGGCTCCCTTCCAATGCACCTGGGAGAGCAGCAGCTTGGCCCAAGTGCTTGGACTCTTGGCACTCATATAGGAGACCCGAAAGAAGCTCCTGGCTCCTGGCTTCAGCCTGGCCCAACTCCAGCTGTTGCAGCCATTTGGGGATTGAACCAGCAGATGAAAGATCTCTCTCTAACTTTTGCCTGTCAAAAAAAACTTTACATTGTGGATCTGGCATTGTAGCACAGGGGGTTAAGCCACTACCTAGCAATCCTAGCACCCCATCTGGGCACTGGTTTGAGTCCTAGCTGCTCAACTTCCAATCCAGCTCCCTGCTAATGTGCCTGGGAAAGCAGCAAAAGATGGTCCAAGTGCTTGGGCTCTTGCACCCATGTGGGAGAGCAGGATAGAATTCCAGGCTCCTGGCTTTGGCCTGGCACAACCCCAGCCATTGCAACTATTCATGGAGTGTACTAGCAGATGGAAGATTCTCTCTCTCTCTCTCTCTCTCTCTCTCTCTTTCTCTCTCTCTCTCTCTTTCTCTCTCTCTCTTTCTCTCTGTAACTCTGCCTTTCAAATAGACAAAAAGTTTTTTTTTTTCTTTATTTGTAAAGGGACAAGATAGGTGATAAACAAAATACTGTATCCTTCTTTCCTTACCTGTGCTTAAGGATCAAACAGAACAGATACTTGACCAGAAAAGCAAATCTTAGTTGTATCCCACCCCTTCCTTCTATTGTATGGTAAGTACAATTCAGTTGGCTTCTTGTTGAGTACAAGAAAGAACTTTTGTCATTTTGGATGAACTTTCCATGGTGCCTAGCACAATGCCATATGTCTGGGGAAGCATAGTAAATATTTGTAACCTTTGAGAGCATCTGTCTGTGCCTACTTGCTGATTTCCATAATTCTTTTCTGCCATATGCCTTCCTCATTTTTTTATTAAAAAAAAAAAACTATCATCACTTTTCTGGGCAAAACTTGATTCAAGACCATAAGAAACAATATTTTCTGAAATGGTTTGGGATGGTGAGCCTAGGATGGGAAGGCTGAAGGTGACATGCACCACAGGTAATCCCTGGGATGTTCTAAGCAGGAACCCAGAACTGTAAATTTGGCTGTCAGGGCGTTGTTGTACTGCTTTGCATGTAAGTCTCATTGTGATAGGTCTGCAAAAGTTGGAATGTGTGAAACCACTGAAATAAAACTGCTTAAAGTCCTAGAAAGAATTGTTAAATCACTCTTCTAACTCAGTACATCCTTTTTTAAGTTTCTGTTTTTAATGCAGACTTGTAAAAATCATAGGTGCTCTGTAGAAAGAGATTTTTATGGAGATTAGAAGCCTAGACATTTTGATGTTTATCTAAGATAGAAAAGGAATTAGTTTATTTTTAGTTAAGATTTGCATTTCAAGGAAGATCAGTGAGACAAAACCAGTTTCAGGTACAGAGGGGAAGGTAAAATTTAGTAGACAATAATTATACTTTGTTTTTGCATAGTGCTTGTTTTTTTGTTTTAAAGATTTATTTATTTATTTGAAAGGCAGGGTTTACAGAGAGAGATCTTCCATCCACTGGTTCACTCCCCAAATGGCTGTAACAGACAGTGATGGACCAATCCAGAGCCAGGAGCCTCTCTTCCAGGTCTCCCTCATGGGTCTAGGGCCCAAGGACCCTGGCTGTTCTCTGCTTCTTTCTCAGGCATGTTAGCAGGGAGCTGCATTGGAAGTAGAGTAGCCGGAACGTGAACCGGTGCCTGTATGGATGCCGGTATTGCAGGAGGTAGCTTTACCCGCTACACCACAACAAAGGCCCAACAGTGCTTACTGTTAAAAAATGTTTGCATATATGATTTTATTCTCCCAATAACCCAGTGATGTGTGTGTGTAAAAATCTTATTTTAATGTATTTGGAAACTAAGAAGTGTCAGTTGACTTGTCCAAAATTAATAGCTGGTAGATGTGAGAATTAGGACCTTCTGATTCCAGGGCCACCAGTCTCTTCTGTTACAGCTTTCTGAAAATCATACACAGCAACATATAGATGCTAGGACCAATTTTAGTGATGCTAAAAGCAAATCTGAAATTGAATCCAAAGTGCAGAGTAGCTTCTCTGCTCATGTCATAGGGATGTGCCCAGAGGTGTGAGCCACCTCTTTGAATTCTAGCTTTGCCAAATGTTAGTAATCTTTTGAACACTGTGGGCTCATTGAAGGGAAGCTTCAGTAGTCACAGGTGCACTTTTGAATGAAGTTGTACCTATTGTGGTACAGGCCAAGCATCCCTCATCCAGAAACACAGAATGCTCCAAAACACAAAACTTTTTAAGCACCAGTGGATTTGACAGCATTTCAGATTTTTGGATTAAAGATGCTCAAGCAGTAGTTTATGCAAATATTCCAAAATCTGTAAAACTGAAACATTTCTGGTCCCAAGCATTTCAGATAAGGGATACTCAACTTGTATTTCTTACAGAGTTATTCTCTTGGATTCTGTTGTTGCAATAACTTTCTTTCTTTTTAATCTCTTGTCTGCAGGAGCCTCCAGAAGATGATGCAAACATCATTGAGAAGATTCTGGCGTCTAAGACTGTCCAGGAGGTTGGTGGCTCATATTACTATTTAATCACAAACCCAGATTTCACCCTCCATGAAGAGACATTTGGCTAGAGAACTTAGGATGTTCATTCTTGATTAGATTGAGAGGTAGGCAAGAATATTTCCTGCCTAATCAGCACTTAACTTCAGTCCCATGAAAGACTTTAGGACATGAAACGTTTTAGTATCTAGAATGGCCCAGACTGACCTTTTTCTCCATTGTGATCCTAGCAGAGGTGCTATTATCCCCCTTCAGTCTCTTTGGCTCCTTGAAAGTTACCAGAAAGCCAAGAAGAATGTGGGAGGAGTCCTAATGGAAACATTATGGGGTATTTTTCCTTTAGACATCTTAGGCCATTGTAGGAATCCGCTAGAGAAAATCACTGGAGTGGGAGAGCATGTTGGTGCTGGGGAGGGCATGGTTTCATCTTGACTTCAAGTGTTTATGAAAGTAAACTTCATCACTTGGAGAGGGAATACCCCTGGTGTTCTATGGGGAAGGCCTGGGGGACTCCAGAGATTTGTGAAGAAACTTCACACTAGGCAGTGGTCCTGACATATCTCAGAGCCCTGGCCACTGCGGGTTCATCAGCTCTTCGCTGTCCTAGCCTGGGCCTTGGAGGGGCAGCAGGAGTATCCTGCCCATCCTCTCCTCAACCCCCCTTTTTAAAAAACCCTGTAGCTGTGTACTCAGTCTTTGGGAAACATGAGCAATACCTAAGGTCTGGGAAAATGAAAAAGTACCCCCAAGAAATGTTTACTAAAACCACAGAGTTGGCACATAGGGTAGTCTCCCTGGGAGCTGGGCTGACAACTGCTTATTGTTGGTTACAGGTTCACCCAGGAGAACCCCCATTCGACTTGGAGCTATTCTACGTAAAGTATAGGAATTTGTACGTCTATTTAATATATTTTGTGTCTTTGGATTTTCCATGAATAAACCTTCCTTTCCCTTGCCATTTTATTATCTTCTGTATTTTCAGAGACTGGCCTCTAAGGCATCACCCACAGATCTTGGCTGAGTCAAGTTCACCGTAGGCAGTAATGCTCAAGTTCAGCTGCATGTAGGATCACCTGGAGAGCTGTTTTAAAGCTGCTGAACCCCTTTCTCCACCCAAGACTCAGATTTAGAATGGTTCCTGAGCACTGGTGTTTTTTAATGCTCTGGGCAATTCTCATGTGTACACAGGGTAGAAAATCACCATCCTATGGCATATAATCTTTTTACCTCTTTGCATTTTTTTTCCTGTCCACTACCTGCCCCCTTTGATGAACAGGTATTTATGATAAAAAAAAAAAAAAAAAAAAAAAAAAAACCTGCCTCATGTTTTCCTTGGAAGCACGCAGCACACACTGCTAAAGAATACCACTCAGCAAAGGAGGGGCCGAAGGAAGTGCTTATCTGGGCATCGCTAGGAGAAAACACACACACACACAGTTATACATTATGTAGATAGCCTGCCCACACCTGCCCTCCCTCTGCTCCAAGCCAGTTTCTGTAGAAGCTGCAGAAAGGTCAGTTGCTCAGAAGGGATTCATTTTGTTTTGTTTTCTGTTGTTGCCCCTAAGGGCAAGGCCTCTCTAAGTCCAGTCTCCAGCAGTTTCCCAGCAAACCACTCTCCTGCTTCTGTGTCAGATGATCACCCTGTTTATTGAACACCCTGAAGTTCAGTCATTTGCTAGCAATGTGCTTGTCTGACAATTTGTGTGTCTTTGGGTAGTTCCTACTTACACTGCAAATGGGCCACAATGGAAGAGCTCGAAAAGGATCCTCGCATCGCGCAGAAGATCAAGCGATTTCGGAATAAACAAGCCCAGATGAAGCACATTTTTACTGAGGTGAAGCAATGCTTACTGATTGATTTGCTGCTTTTCTTACAGCACTAAGTTTCTAAGTTTAAGTTTCTAAGTTCTAGTTAAAGTCCTATAGAGATTGTTGCTCAAGTTAAAATAACAAATGTGTGTTGGTTGGTAGCAAAATTAATCTAGGTTTAAGCCAAAGAAAACAAATTGTCCACTAAGGTGTAAGGATCAAGTTCCTAAAAACGTGCATCTTGGCCAAGCATCGTGGCTCAGTGGGTTAAGCTGCCACTTGGGACACCTGCATCCCATACCAGAGTGCTGTTTCCAGCCCCAGCCACTCCACCTCTGATCCAGCTTCCTGTTAATATACCTGGTAAGACAACAGATGATGACTTGGCTGTTTGGGTCTCTGCCACCCAAGTAGGAGATCCAGATGGAGTTCCTGGCTGCTGGTGACTTCAGCCTGACCCGGCCCTGGATGTTGTGGGCATTTGGAGAATGAACCAGCGTATGGAAGATTGATTTCTGTCTCTCTCCTCTTCTCATTCTTCCATCTTAAAAAAAAAAAAAAGCCTGTTGTTGTCAAAAATAGCTCAAGTGAGAGAAATAGGCCTACAATTTTTTCATTCCTGCCCCAAAATGGGCATTCCAAAAAGACTTAAAATTTGAATATAAAAAACAAGAAGCTAAAATTGTTAGGAAAGAAATAATTATGGAACTTAGGAATTTCTAAATATTGTACCTACAGCAAGAGGAAACACTGATAGATTTGAATATTAAATGGATATATCAGAAAATACAACAGACAAATGTTAAGTAAATACTTAGGAAATACATATATTATATACACACACACATATATATGTATTATATGTACACATATATATGTATTATATATATTATTATATATATGCCATACATTCTTTGTTATCCAGTAGGGTCTTTTCCCTTTATATTCATAGTACACAAATTATGCACATATACACAAATACATGACCTAGCTTTTATGATAAGAAATCTCTTGATAATTCAATAAAAAATATAAAATGCCAAAGATAAAGAAACAGACAAATTAATCAGGAATTTACAAAGAAGAAAAAGCTGATCACTAGCTATGCTTTTTAGTATAGTCAGTTTTGCTAGCAATCAAAGAAATGCAAATTAAAATGAAAATATTCTGGTTTATTTATGTATTTATTTGAGAAGCAGAGTGAGAGAAAGAGAGAGACTCTTCCATCCACTGGTTTACTCTCCAAATGGCTCCAACAGTCTGGGTTGGACCAGGCTTTAAGCCATGAGCCCAGAGCTTCATCCAGGTCTCCCACATGGGTGGCAAAAGCCAAAGTACTGGGCCATCTTCTGCTGTTTTTCCCAGATGCATCAGTGGGGAGCTAGACCAGAAGCAGAGCAGCTGGGACTCAAACCAGCATTCCAATACAGGATGCCAGTGACGCAAGTGGTGACTTAACCTGCTTTATCACAGTGCTGGCCCCTATTCTAGTTTTTATTTGCCAAATGTTTGAAGGTTTTCAGAACAGAAATTTCCCCTTGCTGGTGAGGGTGAGAAAGGGACACTCTGGGATACCTCCTGGTGGGACCATGACTTGGCTGGACCTGTCAGGAGAGCAGGGTGGCAACAGGCATTGCCTCCCAGAATCTGTAAATGTTTTGTCCCACTTAAATTCTGCAATACATATTTTAAATTATTAAGGCTTTGCACAAATTGTTTGTATTGATGAAAAACTGAAAACAAAATGTTAGGTAATAGGCATTTGTTAAGATACATCTCATAAAATGAAATACTGCACAGCTGATAAAAATATTATTAGGGAAAATTATTGACAATGTGGAAGGATGATCAATGCTGGGAACTCTTGTTAGTGGAAAATGTCGGGCTCTGGCATTGTATAGGACAGTTCCATTTGGAGGGGTGGTGTGCAGGAGAAAAGATGTACGTTAACAAACAGTGCCTGGGAAGTATCTTGCATAAATAAAATAACAGAAATGCTGATATCATTTCCTTTGATCGATGGGATTATGGTAAATTCTCTCTACCATTAAACATGTAATTTTTAAATTATATAATAATCTTTGAAGGCAAGAAGTAATAGAACTTCTTAGAACGTGAAGTGCCTGGTGCTGCATTCTGAGGCTGCAGGCAGACACCGTGGGATCCCAGAAACGGCTGTGCACGCCAGCCAGCTCGCTCTGCATGTAGAGCTCCTTCTCCTCAAGTGATAAAGTTATTTTAGGAAAATGTCAGTAAACATTCTCCTTATCTCCATTTGGAATCCTTCCTATTTAGCTTCAAGTCTGGCCCCAGCCTTCTCTGTGAGTGTTTTAAAGCCTGTGAGAACTGTTTTCCAGGGCACTGTTCCTCTAATAGAGAGTTGGGGAAAGGAAGGTGATGACTGGAATTGGAAGAACCATTCTTGAAGCTTTGTTGGATACTCTCCATATTTCTTGGAACATTTTATTCACACCTCTATTTTAGCAAGTATTTTCAGTGTAGTGACTTGTTTACACGTCTGGTTCTTCCATTTTAAGCTCTGTGAGACGGTCGGAGCCCATGTCTTCCTCCTATTTCCATCACTGGTAGTAGGCACAGCGTGAGCACTTTCTTAGTCATTTTTTGACTGCCCCCAGGAAGGAGAAGAGGGCTTGCCTTGGGCCGTTCCCCTGCTGGAGACCCTTCAACATGTCCCCTCTTCTTAGAATAAAGTCCAGACTCCTCAGTGTAGCCTATATAGCTGTGTGTCTATTTTCTGATACATTCCCAAGGAAGTGTTTTTCCCCACATTGGTTGAAGGTAGAGAGTAGAAACTGTTAGGCTATATAGAAATAATGTAACAAGAGTTCATCCTCTTGGAAGTTAGAGCCTTTGAGAAGATTGGATCCCATGAAATGAGGGAGAAGCAGGTGATAGGTGAGAGTAGTTCCTATAGCAGTGTCTTTGGTCTTGACCTAGCCAACGCTTTTATTAGTAATGTGGAGATACAGGAGTCTTCTGGTATAAATAGTAGCAAAGTCGGGATAGACCGGCTTCATATCCATTGTTTTCAGCTGCTTTGTGAGGTAGCATGTGTGAGGGAGACTCAGACTCGAGCCTGTGAGACCCCCAAGCCACAGAGGAGAGGCCCTCTGACCCCAACTCTTTTTTTGTTGTTGTTGCTATTTATTCATTTGAAAGGAAGAGTTACAGAGAGAAAGGGTTGGAGAGATAAATGGCCACAAAAGGAAGGGCTGGGCCAAGCCCAAAGCCAGCAGCCAGGAGCTTCCCTCAGGTCTCCCACGTGGGTGCAGGGGCCCAAGCACTGAGGCCATCCTCTGCTGCCTTCCCAGGCACATTAGCAGGGAGCTGTATGAGAAGTGGAGCAGCTGAGGATTGAACCAGCATCCATATGGGATGCTGGCATTGCAGGAGGCAGCCTAAGCTGCTACACCACAGCCCCGACCCCAACTCGTGACACCTTTAGAAAACCCAGAATACTTTTTGTCCAATCCAGGGCATGGAGAGGGGAATGCCAGAGTCAAACCCTGTGTCTGTAAAATGCAGACAAAGAAGCCAGGTGTTGCGTTGGCATTTTAAAAATATTTACAATTTTGAAGTGGGTAAGATAATTGAATAGGGGTTCTAGGGCAAAAAGAAATTGTCAGCTTAATTACTTACAGGTTTACTGTGTGCCAAAAGTGGGGTGTGGCTTCTTAAAAAGTCACAGTAGTCCTAGGCTGCACCGTTGGAACTAGCCCACTGTGCCTTTCTCTTCATTTTTTCCTTATGAGTTCATTTGGGCACCAGAATTCAAGGAGGCAGCTGAAGGCGGCTATAGGAGAACAGTCGTGGTGTAAGGGGCAGAGGCCTGGTCGAGTCAGAGAGCAGAGGTGGTTACAGACTGTGTGACACTGGGAACCTGGGTGGCCTCAGGCCACTTACATAAGCTCTTTCATACTCCATATGCTCATGTGTATAAAGATGGACTCTTTAATGCTGTCAGCCTCACACAATACCTGCCAGGAATAAATGACACAGTTGTTTTCCATCTTTTTTGAAGTACAATTGATTTTAAAAATTGCGTATATTTAAGGTATACAACTTCATGTTCTGATATACATATATGTTGTGAAATAATCACCGTCATCAAGCTAGTTAGCGTTTCTATCACCTCACGTAGTTACCATTTTGTTTTTTATTCCCCTTTTATGGTAAGATCTTGCCTCTTAGCATATTTTGACTATAAGGCCCAGTGTTAACTGTCACACAATACTGTACATTGGGTCTCTGGAACTTCATTCATATTGTGTGATAAACTTTGTGCCCTTTGATCAGCGTCTCCCCTTTTACCCCTCTCCTCCACTCCCTGGCAACCACCATTCTACTCTGTGCATCTGTAAGTTTATTTTATAGTCCACCTGTTAGGGAAATTGCGCAGTATTTATTCTTCCATGTCTGGCTTATTTTACTTAGCATAATGTCTTCCAGATTCATCCATGTTTTCGAAAGTGGCAAAAGTCCTTCTTTTTTAGGGCTAACTAATACTCTATTATATATATGTATACATTACACTTTCTGTATCCATTCATCCGTAGATGGACACTGAGGTTGTCTGCATATCTTGGCTGTCATGGGTGATAAATGACAGTGTTTATAGAAGTGCATTGCATAGTGCCTGGCTCATAGTCACTATTCATAAATATTAGTTCTCTGTATCATTCATTGTGAGATCTACAAATAGTATGCAGGAAGAATGATCAACAAATGGAGTTATTCAACCCAGATGAAGAGATTGCTGAAGAGCCAATGCAGAGAGGAGGGTATCACACTTCTCATCACCGCTGTGGAGGAAATGGCTCACAGGAATGAGTGACAGTTACGAGGAAGAAAGTCAGGCTGCAACTTGCTAATAATGATAAAGGTCATAATACTGGGACTAAATGGTAGCGATGAAACTGTTTGACAGTGAGTCACAGAGGGAAGTGAAGTTGCTTCACGAGAATAATTGGATCTGAGGGTGGCACTGTCAGGGATGCTGCAGAGGCTTCCTGCATTGATGAGACAGTGAGACTAGATAGCCCAGAGGGCCTTCCAACCCAAGAGGCAGCAGACTTGCCAGCAGTCTAGAAGGAGGGCTTCTGGGCAGGAAAGACCTTGGTGAACACTGCAGCTCACAGAGCTCTGTGACCTCGGCACATGGTTTAACTGCTCCGTAATGATGTTTTGAGACTCAAAACCACTTAGCATGACTCCTGATGCACGTTAAACATTCCTGAGTGATGCTTATTGTTGACTTGTAAGTACATCTTTATCTAGGCATAATATACATAGATAAATAAATAAATCCTAAGTGTACATCTCAGTGAATTTTTTTAAAAGATTTATTTATTTGAGAGGCAGAGTTACAGACAGAGAGAAGGAGAGACAGAGAGATCTTCCATCCACTGGTTCACTCCCCAGATGGCCACAATGGCTGGAACTGAGCCAATCTGAAGCCAGAAGCCAGGAGCTTCTCCTGGGTCTCTCATGCAGGTGCAGGGACCCAAGCATTTGGGCCATCTCCCACTGTTTTCCCAGGACATCAACAGGGAGCTGGATCAGAAGTGGAGCAGTCGGGACTCGAACCAGCATCCCTATGGGATGCCAGCCCATAGGCAGAGGTTTAACCTACTATGCCACAGCACCAGACCCTCTGAATTTTTAGAAAATAAACACTTGTGTAACCACCACCTAGATCAGGAAATAGAACATTACCCATACCCAGCAATTGCTCTTTATACCCATTTCCAAATATGTTGGCTTATTGTTATTAAAAACAAAAAGTAACTAATTCTCAGCGGCCAAAGGTTATCTTTGTTTTTTTCTTTGTGTGTGTGTGTGTGTGTGTGTGTGTGTGTTTTGGGGGGGGGGGGGGAATTTTTATTTATTTATTTGAGAGACAGAGACAAAAGAAGCCCCCATCCTTCCTTGGGGCCAACATTGTGGTGCAGTGGGTTAAGCTGTTGCCTGAAACACAATACCAGCATCCCTCATTGGAGAGTCCAGGCTCCTCCACTTCTATCCAGCTCCCTGCTGATAACACCTGGGAAAGCAGCAGAAGATGGCCCAAGTCTTTGGGCCCCTGTACTCATGTGGTAGACCCAGATGGATGTCCAGGCTCCGGGCTTCAGCGTTGCCCAGCCCCAACTGTTACAGTCATTTGGGGAGTGAACCAGCAGATGTAAGATCTCTCTCTCTCTCTCTCTCTCTCTCTCTCTCTCTCTCTCTCTCTCTCTAACTCTGTGTTTCAAATAAATCTGTTAAGAAAAAAAAAAAGAAAAGAAAAGAAACAGAAAGTTCCCATCCACTAGTTCACTCCCCGAGATGGCTGCAACAGCAAGGGCTAGGCCAGAGCCAGGAGCTGGGAATCTAATCCAGGTCTCCCATGTCAGTGACAGGAACCCAATTGTGCCATCACCCCTGCCTCTCAGGGTATGCATTGACAGGAAGCTGGAGTCAGGAACTGGAGCAAGGACTCAAACCCAGGCACACAGACGTCTTAACCCCGAAGTGTCTGCTTCCCAGGAACCATCTTTGGAACAAGGAGCTGTAAAAGAACCCTTGTGCTAACTGGTGTGCATTGCTGTAATGGCCACCAGGAAGATTGCACCTGATGCATCCTCTAAGGTGGTTGGATCCTTTGTTCAGCTGTGAAGAGCAAGATCTGGGGACAATAAAGAAACATTTGTAATGTTATTTTTATTCTCCAGTAACTCCTTTCTGTGTTTCCTGATAGGACCCAGAGTAGGGGTTACTTAAAGATAAACCATGGGGTGCTCACTTGCTCATCTTACTTGCTCTTCTCTGTTCTCATTAGCCTGATGAAGACTTGTTCAATCCAGACTATGTGGAAGTTGATCGCATCTTGGAGGTGGCCCACACCAAGGATGCAGAAACAGGAGAGGTAGGTGGTTTGTCATTTTGTACTCTCTTAAAGTGTCTTCCCTTCATCCTGTGTATTTTGCTTGTTTTGTTTACATGTGGCCTTTTTTTTTTTTAATAGTATTCTTGTGTTGTCATGCAGGCTATTCTTTCAGAGTTTGGCAGAGTATGACTGACTGCTTTAATCTAGTGGCAAGAACCTTGATTTTCTGTCCTGTGTCCCACCAGGAGGTGACACATTACCTGGTGAAGTGGTGCTCACTGCCATACGAAGAAAGCACCTGGGAGCTAGAGGAAGATGTGGATCCTGCAAAAGTTAAAGAATTTGAATCTCTCCAAGTTCTCCCTGAAATCAAGCATGTGGTAAAGCATCCATACTCTGTCTGATGCCTCCTGCAGCGTACCATCTTATGAACTTGGTGGTTATGCATGTCCATACGGCTGTGTTTCTGAATGATTTCTGTGGTATCTGACCCTTCCACGCCTACTCCCACCCTCATGAACCTGCAGTTCAGGATATTCCTCCCCAAGTGAAACTTTGCTAGCACGCTGGCCCGCTTTAGGTCTGGGCTTTGTTTTGATGTGTGTCCCTGGATATAGATTCAGATTTCCTGGTGTATGTTTGTCCTGTGGATTTCATATGACAGAATGTGTAAGAAATGCGTGGCATGCATAAGAAGCTCTTACCTATCTTGCTTTGTGGATGACCTCTTGTTTCTTTGTGTCCTTTTCCTTCACTCAGATGAAGCATTCTTAAGCGGAAAAGCTGTCCTTTATCTGTAGATTTCTTGCATAGAAAGAGCATAGGTTTTCAATACTGTGTGTTTATTGGCTCTGTATTTCTGATTCTGGGGTATTACCCCTCTGCTGCAGAAGTGCCCTAGGGTGCCTGAGAAGCAGCTGTACATAAAATATCAACAACTGAAAGGAGGAAGAGTTGGGACCAGAGCCTTGTTAAGGTGTAACAGGCTTGGAAAGAGAATCAGTTTAAACAATATGGCTATAGGGTAGAATTATCAGTGTCTGTAAAAAAAATCACCATTGTTAAGTGAAAAAAAAATCTAGCTCCTCAATAGTACTATTTGTTGCTTGTTACCACTGGAGAGTTTGGCCAAATTGTACCTCAACATTCAGTTAGACTCCTGTCAGATCTTGGCGTTTGAAAGGTGAATAGAGGTATCTGGAGATCAGAAACTTACATAATTTAAAATGTTTTGTTTATGTAGTGATTGAATTATTAAATTCCTTTCTCAGTCCTTTCCTATAAATTCTCTATTGTCTGTTTTTAATTCAATTTGTCAGTTGTTCATTAACATCTGCTGTAGGTTGACTCTTGTGAGAAATAATAAGAAACAGGGAACAGGCCCTGTCCCCAGGAGCTCACAGTCTAATGGAAGAAGCATGTGTGTACAAGCACAAATACAGCACCAGGCTCGTTGTGATGTGCAGTGTAATAGAGACAAACCAGTGTGGGAGCAGAGAGAAGAGAGGATTTCATTCTGAGGCTAATTTTTTTTTTCAAAGATTTATTTATTTATTTATTCGAAAGTCAGAGTTACACAGAGAGAAGGAGAGGCAGAGAGAAAGAGAGAGGTCTTCCATCCGTGGGTTCACTCCTAAGATGGCTGTGACGGCCGGAGCTATGCTGATCCGAAGCCAGGAGCCAGGAGTTCTGGGTCTCCCATGTGAGTGCAAGGGCCCAAGGACTTGGGCCATCTTCTACTGCTTTCCCAGGCCATAGGAGAGAGCTGGATCAGAAGTGGAGCAGCCAGGACTCGAACCGGCACCCATATGGGATGTTGGCACTACAGGCAGCAGCTTTACTCGCTGCGCCACAGGGCTGACCCCTGAGGCTAACTTTAAATTATCATCTTGAAGTAATCAGGATTCCCACCCATTCCCTCTGCTCAGTTCCTCAACCTAACTGTGTGTACTTGGCAAGAACATAAATCCTCAAGGGTTTGCTGCTGACCACCCCACTGGCCAGTGGAACAATATTATTTTATACTTGTCTTATTTCCTAATCTAATTCTTCTCATTAAAATGAACATTTTGAAATTTTGCCTCAAAAATTCTAAATTGAAATGGTAGCTAAAACAGCTGTCTTTTCATATGTTAAGCAAAGGGTTGGTTCCAAATACTATGTCACATGAATAACTTGTCTTTATTTTTAAAGGGATCTTGTTCTGAATTTTGAAGGTTAGAGATGATCTTACCACTCTTGATTTTGTGGTAAAAATGGGTCACTTGTCATCAGAAAAGTATGGAATTTCAAGAAAGAGAGAGAGAAGTGAGAGTTAGTAATGATTGTGCCAAGGGAGAGAAATGGGTTTTTATTAAGTAAGACCCTGACTGGAAATCCTGAGAACCAATTCTGTTCTTTAGAAATTAACTAAGTAGCCCTTGAAGCTTGTTTGCTATAGTCTGTACCACTTCGGAGCCATCCAGACTAGGTGTTAGAAACATCAGCTGATTTTAGGGCTTGTGCTTAGAAGGCTGGAACTTCTGAGCAGTAGGTAACATAAAACTGAAATCTGTAGCTCTGGAGAAAGAGGGAGACCCGTAGGAGTGACCGAGTGAGAAAGTGATGCCTCTCCATCTAGAACACTTTTAGGACAGCTAACTAGAAGCTCCAGGGGAAAGTGTACTGTTTAGTGTCTGCAGTGATGAGAGTGAGCTACTGAGACCCCAGGGGTGAAGATGCTTCCAGAAATTGTCTCCACAGTATCTAGTAGAGTGAGAAAGAATGCCCAATGGAGTGGTTGCCTGAGCCCCAGGGATCTGTGCTGAATGGTTCAGATAGACTAAGAAGACAGATTCTTTAAGGAAACAGAGCAAGAGAATGTAATTAGAAGAATATAGCTGCAGTAATTGAAAAATGGTTCTATTGCAGTCATGGATATGGAACAGAATGAAAAAATCCAGATACAGCTCCATGAATATTGTGAAACCAAGGATAAGATAAAGGTGACATTTCATATAGTAGAGAATTTTTTTAAAAGATTTATTTATTTATTTGAAAGGCAGGATTACAGAGAGAGAGAGAGAAAGAGAGAGAGAGAGGTCCTCCATCTGCTGGTTCAATCCCCAGATGGCTGCAATAGCCAGAGCTGCATCCATCTGAAGCCAGGAACCAGGAACTTCTGGTTCTCACACGCGGGTGCAGTGGCCCAAGGACCTGGACCATCTTCCATTGCCCTCCCAGGCCACAGTAGAGAGCTGGATTGAAAGTGGAGCAGCCGGTACTTGAACCACCGCCCATGTGGGATGCCAGCACTGCAGGCGGTAGCTTTACTTGCTATGCCACAGCACCGGCCCAGAGATGAATTATTTTTTAGAAACTAGTATCTCAAATGAAAAAATAAATAATGAGACTGCTTCTGGTTTTTTTCTAAGGGAAATTTAAGGAATTTGCAGTTTTGATTGTACATAGTTTTGCTTTATGTGTTGACTTTAGAAACCAACCAGCTGACTGTTCAACCCACTATGCTTTCCTAGTCTGATTCCTTAGGCAGAAAGAAATAACAAAAAGTAATTCTCTTTATAAAAACGAAAAACCCTAATATTAGCTTTCAGAGAAATTGAAGTATAAGTGAGAGTCACATCTAAGAGGTGGAATAAAACAGTATAATGCACACCAAAATTCTTAGATCAGTCTGTTAATCTTCTTAATTACTTGAAAATTTTACAAAGGTATAAATTTATTGAAATTTGGAAAATACTGGGCCTGCACATTACTGAGAAAATAACAACTGCACTTTGAAACTGGCCTTCAGACGGTGTTTGAGGCTGGTCCCCTTGTCCGTCATTATCTGTGTTGTGCTTAAACACCATTGCTTTTGTGAAGTGCTCTTGGCTTCCCTCCCCAGGAGCGGCCTGCTTCAGACTCCTGGCAGAAGCTCGAGAAGTCTCGCGAGTATAAGAACAGTAACCAGCTCCGGGAGTACCAGCTGGAGGGGATGAACTGGCTTCTTTTTAATTGGTATAACAGGTGAGAAACCAGAACCAGTCCACATGTTTGTACCTAGGAGAATATTGGTTCCTTAACCTGGAAAACACGGTGTATCAGTAGCAGAGCAGTGAGAGTGAGCAGCACAGCCACCAGTTTAGTTGGTAATTCTTGCACATTAGTCATGCCAAGACTGACTTTATTTGTACATCAGGTGTTTCTCCAATCCAAAGGAATGATCTTGAGCAATCATTGACTTTGTACTTTTTCTTTGCCTTTTCTGCCCATCTAACTAAAAGGTTAGGATCAGCCCCGATGAAACAACACAGTAGATCCTCTAAAACTGCTTTTTCTCTCTAAGTCTTTATATCTTTTAAAAGAGTTATTTATTTATTTGAAAGGCACAGAGAGATTAATCTTCCATCCACTGGTTCATTCTCCAGATGGCTGCAAGAGCCAGGGCTGGTCCAGGCCAAAGCCAGCAGCCAGGAATTCCATCTCACATGGGTGGCAGAGGTATAGGTACTTGAGCCATTGACTACTTTCCCAGGCACGTTATCAGAGAGCTTTATCTAAGCAGAGCAATGGGGACTTGGACTAATACTCTGATTTGGATGCCCATGTTACAAGCCAAGGCTTAACCTGCACTACAACCCAGACACTTTCTTTAAGTCTTTGGAAACAAAAACCTGGAAAAGGGAATAAAGGCACCAGCATAGTGGCATAGCAGGTAAAGCCACCACCTAGGACACCAGCATCCCATAGTTGTGAGTTGGAATCCAGGCTGCTCCACTTCCAATCCAGCTCCCTGTTAATGATCTGAGAAAGTAACTGAATGTGGCCCAAGTGCTTGTCACTTGTCTCCCACATGGGAGACCTGGAAGAAGCTCCTGGCTCCTGGCTTCAGCCTTATCCAACCCTGGCCATTGCAGCCACCTGGGCAGTGAACCAGCCACTAGAAGCTATCTCCCACATCCCCACTCCTACCCCCTCCAACACATACTTTCTCTGTAACTCTAGCTTTCAAATAAATAAATACATCTTTACCAAAAAAAAAAAAAAAAAAGGAGGAGAATGAGTCTAGATTCTAACTCCTACTCCTTATTTGTGTTCCATGGTTGTTTTGATCTTGTACTATAATACTGTTTTGAACTGTTTATGCTCTGGTTCTTACGAGAATCTAGCTGAAGTGAGAAATTTGAGGAAGATGGATTGGGGGTCTTCTTAGCATTCTAGATCGTGCCCTATAGTAGTGAGATTTTATGAAAAGATTATTTATTTGAAAGGCAGAGTTACAGAGAGAAAGAGAGATCTTCCATCTGCTATTTCACTCCCCAAATGGTTACAACAGCCTGGAGAGGCCAGGAGCATCTTCCAGGTCTCCCACATGGGTGCAAGGGCCCAAGAATTTGAGCCCTCTTCCACTGCCTTCCAAAGTGCATTAACAAGGAGCAGAATTGGAACCTGCACCCATATAGGATGCCAGCATTGCAGTCAGCTTTACCGGCTGTGCTACAGTGCCAGCCCCCATACTAGTGAATTTTAAGACACATGTTGTAATGTAAAGCACACCATGGGGGCCGGCCCTGTGGTGTAGTGGGTAAAGCTGCCACCTGCAGTGCCAGTATCTCATTTGGGTGCTGGTTCGAGTCCTGACTACTCCACTTCCAATCCAGCTCTCTGCTATGGCCTGGGAAAGCAGTGGAAGATGGCCCAAGTCCTTCGGCCCCTGTACCCGCATGGGAGACCCAGAAGAACTCCTGGCTTCTGGCTGCAGATTGGCGCAGCTCCAGGCCTTGGAGGGCATCTGGGGAGTGAACCAATAGAAGGAAGACCTCTCTCTCTCTCGGCCTCTGTCTCTCTGTAACTTTGCCTTTCAAATAAATAAATCTTTAAAAAAAAAAAAAAAAAGATACACCATGGTGGGTCTCCAGACCTGACCTGTGTTCTAACATAATGTTTGCCACTTATTCACAGTGTTACCCAGAGTATAACTCACCTAACCGGTCCAGGTGTCAGGTTGCCCAACTGAACAGTGAATGAGACACAGGATGGTGGCCATACCCCTTGCATAATCCCAGTTCTAGTACATAGTCTGTGAGTCTGGGTCACCAGAAGAAGCCATATTTTGATCATGTGGGTTGATCATGTGTGTTGAAACTGTGTCCCGTGATAACATACATATGATAATAAGAATCACCATTGTTTTAATTTTTTAACCTTACCTTTTAGGAAGTTTCTTGGTTAAATGAACTGGCTAGGTTGGAGGTATATTTTTTTTTCTCTTTGTCTTAATGTCATTTTAACTTTTAGTATTTTAAGTTTATGTTTGTGTTTGTGTATAAATGTTTATTTTTTTCATCTACTTGAAAGAGAAACAGAGAGAGCTCATGCACCCACTGGTTCACTCCCCCAATGCCTCCAACAGCTAGTGCTGGAACAGGCCAAGCCAGGAGCCTGGAACTCCCATCTGGGTCTCTCTCACGTGGGTTGCAAAGGTCCCAGCACTTGAGCCATCATCCGCTGACTCCCACGATGCAATAACAGGAAGCTGGATCAGAAGCAGAGCAGGCGGTACTTGAATTGACACTCTAATGTGGGATGCAGGCATTTCAAGCAGTGTCTTAACCCACTATACTACAATGTCCACCCCAAGAATATATTTTAATAGACTACTTCATATATTTTCTTCCATGTTAGCATAGTTCCTTTTTGGAAGTAGACAAGGTATGAATAATAATAATTTTTAAAGGTAGCCTCAGATTTTTCTCTGTAAAATGACTGTAGAATCTTCACTGGTGATGTTACAGGTCAAGGTATACCTCTGAAGCATCTTTTTAGTTACAACCAATCTCTACAACTCTCCTGTATTGATAATGAATTACCTATATTTCCTACTGTCTGCAGGAAAAACTGTATTTTGGCTGATGAGATGGGCTTAGGAAAAACCATCCAGTCCATCACATTCCTTTCAGAAATATTCCTCAGAGGAATCCATGGTCCTTTTCTCATCATCGCCCCTCTCTCCACCATCACTAACTGGGAGCGGGAGTTCCGGACGTGGACAGAGATGAATGCCATTGTCTACCACGGCAGCCAGATCAGCAGGCAGATGATCCAGCAGTATGAGATGGTGTACCGAGATGCACAGGTGAGCCTCGTGGCAAACAGAGACCTGGGGTGGCCTGAGCTCAGAACAGCTTTCTGATACTGCAGGACTTGCAGCAGCCTGCAGCTTGGGTTCCTGTTGACTTGCTCTGTAAAGATGAGTGCTTATTGAGGCTGGCTTCTTGTTGCTCCCTAATAGTTAATGTTAATTTATGATAAAACAGGATTGTAGGGCATGCTCTCCAAACCCTGTGAGTTATGCCATAGGCCTTTTTTTAAGACACTGAAATCTTGGCTTACTGGTTAGCTTATGAAATTGCTTTTATATACAGAAGATTTTACCTGAATTGATATCAGCTCAGTACATAAAGTAAGCAGAATTAGTATACAGGAGATAGGAGTTTGAAGGGAGGTTAACAGATTTTACAGGGAAGGATAAAAAGAGAAAAAACAAGGCTCAATTACTAAAAGCACAGCAGAACCTTTTTTTATGTTTTTGTTAAGTGTAATCATTTTGCTGAGTATGGTTGTGTGCTTGGCCTGGGTACTGGTTTTTATAATTAAGTGGTATAAAAATTAAGTGACTCCAGTCAAGGTAAAGTCAGTGTTGTCACCAAGGATTTCCAAAGCAGCAAAGATGACACTTGGAAGAAACTTAGAATGTGCTCAAACAGAATGCAGCTCTGTTCCTGAAATGTGATGGCAACTCCAAGATAGGCTGACAGACAAAGAAGTGTTCTGACCAGTAGCATTGTCCCAAATGAATCCTGGTCATTGCTTTGACTCTATCCTAGAACCGGAGTTACAGGGGGAAATTAATTAAATCTGAAAAGTAGCAGAGGGTTTTGTTGGGTAGACTGACTGCTGGCTGGGAATGGATGAATCAGTAGCCACCTGCTTTCCTTCTCATAGCAATTAATAAATAAAAAGCTCCTTTGCCTTGCCTTAATAGTGCTTACCCTTCTCACTTTTGTGGGGACAGTTGCTCTCTTGGCTTCTGTTTCATTGACATTGTGAGGTCTCTGTTGTCTAAATTACTCATTCATTCTTTTATTCTCTCCTTTCTCACATGAGGAAAAGCAGTGCTTGTTGTCTTCTCACCTTGACCGTAGCCTATCCCCCGCCACCTCCTCTAATCCAGCAGGTCGTTCATTAGCAGAATCCTGAGGCCAAGGTGTAAAGGTGAGCCTCTGATTGTGTCATCCTCAGGGAAACCCCCTTTCAGGAGTCTTCAAGTTCCATGTCGTCATCACGACGTTTGAGATGATCCTGGCAGACTGCCCAGAGCTGAAGAAGATTCACTGGAGTTGTGTGATCATCGATGAAGCCCACAGACTGAAGAACAGGAACTGCAAACTTCTCGAAGGTCTAAAGCTCATGGCCCTGGTGAGAGTCTGCTAGGTCTCTCCATAAAAAAAGCCCAGGTTCCCTCTGTGGAGCGTGGAGGAAATGTTCGTGTGTAGAGTCCCTTTACTTTAGATGTGGGGGTTTGGGGGTTTTTTTTCTCCCTCCGTAATTGTGATAGTGTAGGAATCAAGTTTCTTTCTCTCTCTCTCTCTTTTTTCTTTTCTTTTTTGTTGCCAACTGGGTCAGCAGTTCAACCTTTGCCACAAATTGATTCCCAGAGGGGACTGGAGACCCTTAAATACCATGGAATTCGTGACCTGGAAATGTAATGTGAATTGGCTTGTTTCCAGGTCCCTGAATGAACTAAGTTACAAAAGATGGTGGCCTTTTAATCATTACCTTGGCCCATTGCCCATTGTGTGGTGGGTAGGCACTCAGTTCTAATGATGAATGAATGAATGATTGCTTCAATTAACATGAAATTGTTGCTAGAATCAGTGATGTGAGTAAAAGGAAGGTAGATCCATTTATACGCCTCGGAAGTGTTGGCCTCCTATCTTTTCCTTAAAACAGAACAGAATTGCCTCAAATTGAGCACAGTGAGGGCCCTGGCTTAATTTTCTCCACTAGAATGTTCCGTTTGGGTATCCCAAACACTGTTGATCGTGTGCTTTTAATTTGTGTAGGAACATAAAGTGCTGCTCACTGGAACACCCTTGCAGAACTCTGTGGAGGAGCTCTTCAGTTTGCTAAATTTTCTGGAGCCATCACAGTTTCCTTCAGAGACTGCTTTCTTGGAGGAGTTCGGAGATCTGAAAACAGAGGAGCAGGTAATTGGGGGCCTGCAGGATGGCAGAGAGGGTGTGATGATCACCTTCATCATCAGGGAAAAAGTGAGTCACTGTGGGAGCAAGATTGAGTAATTTCTTTGTTTTTTTTGTTTGTTTGTTTTTTGTTTTAGATTTATTTTTGGGAGCCAGTGCTGTGGCATAGCATGTGTAGCACTGGTATCCCATATAGGCGCCGGTTCAAGTCCCAGCTGCTCTACTTCTGATCCAGCTCCCTGCTAATGTGCCTAGGAAGGCAGTGAAAGATGGCCCAAGTACTTGGGTCCCTGCCACCAATGTGGGAGATCTGGAGGAAGCTTCTGGCTCCTGGCTTTGGAGCCATCCAGACCTGGCAGCCATCTAGGGAGTGGACCAGCATATGGAAGATCTACCCTCTCTCTCTCTGACTCTGCCTTTCAGTTGGGTGGGTAAATCTTTAAAAAAAAGAAAAGTTTTTTGTTTTTTGTTTTTTTTATTTGAAAGGCAGAGTTACAAAGAGAGGAGAGACAGAGAGAGATGTTCCATCCACTAGTTCACTCCCCAGATGGCCACAACAGCTAAGGGGCTGGGCCAGGCCAAAACCAGGAGCCAGGAGTTTCCTTCAGGTCTCCCACATAGGTGCAGGGGCCCAAGGACTTGGGCCATCTTCCACTGCTTTTCTAGATGCATTAACAGGGAGCTGGATCCGAAGTAGAGCAGCCAAGTCTTGAAGCAGTGCCCATATGGTATGTTGTTTTCACAGGCAGAGGCTTAACTCGGTATGCCATGATGCCAGCCCCTTAGCAATTTCGTACACCCCTGATAAAATGAACGTTACCTCCTTTACTGTATCTATTTGTTTATGTTGGGAAGAGAAGGTGGTTTATAGCAGTTCTATGGCTTCAAAGGGAAGATGGGTCAGTATCTAAAATATCAAATGGTAGCCTATCAGACATCCTGCTTCACTGAGCTCCCTTGTACATTCAAAAGTTTTGCTTGAACCCTGGCCTCAGGAGCAAAGTGCTTTCTTCTGCTTCCCTCGTCCTTTGTCTTTCCTCCTACATAATCTGTAGCATGTTCCCAGGCCTGTCTTCCTGAGTGTAGCATGATACCCAAGTCCTGAGGAAAAGCAGGCAGTCACGTGCCTAGGAGAGTCTTGTCCACATCCACTGAATGTCCTCAGTTTCCAAATGTTCAGTCCTAAGTCTAGTTTGTTCAGAACAACAGGTATTAATAAGTTTCTATCTTCTATGGGTAGAAGTCTCTACTATAGTAGAGATTATAGAAATGCCAGACAAGTTTACATGCCATGAGAAGAACCAGTAACAGAGCAGGGACTTTAAAAGAGAGAGGGGCCACATTTGTTTGTGAGTCAGGTGAGTTTTCAGCGGTGGAGAAAGGAGGGAAAAAAATCAGCATAATCAGAGCCATGGAATTGATTCTGTAGTAGGGAATTCTGTAGTTGAGCTGAAGACCAGATGAATGAAGTGGGGAGTGTGTGAAGCAGAGGTGTTCAGGATTGTGTAGTGGGAAGTCCTTGAAAGTCAGATTGAAGAATTTAAAAGGGAGGGACGCCATGCATGACTTTGACTGCAGCACTGACGAGATTAGTTCTGCTGAGTTAATCTTGCAATGGTGTGAAAGTGGGTTGGGGCAGAGAATTTGGGGACTGAAGGGTTTGGGGATTTCACTAACAGATGCCAAAAGGATACTCTGGTTCCAATCTGTTTCCTTCTACTTCTGATGCAAGTCAGATTTGAGAGCAGTGAATAACCAAATTTAATTCCCCTTCTCTACATCAGTGTATCTGTTGATCCTTCAAAAGCCAGCTCCAACCCTCTCTCCATTTTTGGACCATTAGAAAAGCATCCTCTTCTCCCATTGCACTTAATTTGTGGTATGCATTTTTTCTTCTTCCTAGACAATGATCTCCTTGAGGACAAGGCCCACATCTTCTCCAAAGTTGTGTTTGTTGTATTGACCAGCACAGTGTCTGGCATGTAGTATACTCTAAATGATTCAAGGTATGAAACCGAGTGAAGGGCAAAAGCTGAACCCAGCATGTGGCAGATTGACATTTGTCCTTATCTTTAACAATGAGCTAGCTGTGTCTTTTCTCTTTGGGTTCTTACATAGGAATTCCTTACCCCTGTGGGGGATTAGATTCCTAAGTACCCTTGGTTGGTAAAATCAGTCTCCTAAAAGGCTTAGCTTTAAGATTGGGATTAGTTAGGAGAAAAGCCAAAAAATGGCATTAAATGTTTGTATTATTATGTTTCTTAAAGAATTACCTATTCTTTTAAACTGATAAATAAAATTGTATATATTTATCACATACAACATAATGTTTTAAAATATGTATGTGTTGTGGAATCAAGCTAATTAATACATGTACTACCTCACATACTTATTTTTTGTGGTGAGAATACTCTCTTAGCAATCTTCATGAATACATTGTTGCTTTATAGACACCATGTTGTACAAAATTTCTTGAACTGATCTCTGCTAGCTAACTAAAATTTTGAATCCTTTTACCGATATCTCCCTAAACCCCTTCCCCATCCCATCCCATCCCTGCAGTCCCTGATAACCACCATTCTACTGTCTGCCTCTATGAGACGTTTGTATTTTAAAAAACAACAGATAAAGTTCTAGAAAGTGTCTGTTTCCAAAGTAGAGCATATTCATCATTATCTCAAACCTGTTGCAGTAACTCACTCTTCTAAACCACTCTATGAATCACTTTCTATTTCTTTAGGAATTATTACCATAGCACACAACTTATTTATGCAGCTTATCCCTGTCCCTTTATAAATTTTTGAACAGCCCTTTCTGACTTGAAACTGACTTTGCACTGTCATTTGCCCTTATTTTATTTTCCCATCAGGGTTAATCTGATGCCATATTTTAGCTCTAGGTTAACTGAAGTGCTTTGACTTTGAGTCCCTCATTTGTCTTCCTGGAAGAGGGAACAAGTCACCTTGGTACACTGGTACAGTCAAGTGAGTGCAAATCTGCTGTTCAGGCCTGGAAAATTAGAAGAACAGACAGATCATAGCAAAGAACACTCTTAGGCTCAAAGTGCCCCTGATATGACAGATTAATTCTTTACACACTGCTACTTCCAAGTACGTTTTCTGCTATTGTTACTCAGAGGGTGTAGGTGGAATCCGTGTCCAGATTGCCTCTACTTCTTACTCTGTTCTTTCAGCATCTAAGTCTTCCCTTTGTAATAATTCACTTGTACCTCCTAACATGACTTAAAATATTCTTCAAGTAATTACTGTGCATGTGTGTCTATTAGGAAAGAGTAAGGTTTGTTTTCTCCATCCTAGAGAACAGGGACTGTCTTTTGTATCTTTCCCCCTTTTTATCTTGTGAGATTGCCACATAGGTTCTCAGTAATTACTTGTGAATGAAAACCAGATCCCCTGTTTCCTTTTGGTACTGTGATAAACTCCTCATTTCCAGGGGTCAGTCATGATCTTTCTTTTAGTTTTCTACAACAGTATCATAGTTAGATGTTCAACAGATTATAGTGAGTGTTGGAAAACCCTGTAATCATTTATCAGGACTGCAATGAGTAAATAGAGCTCATTTCCCTGGACAGGTAAAGAAACTGCAGTCTATCCTAAAACCAATGATGCTTCGGCGGCTGAAGGATGATGTGGAAAAGAACCTAGCTCCCAAGCAGGAGACCATCATTGAAGTAGAACTGACCAATATCCAGAAGAAGTACTACCGGGCCATCCTGGAGAAGAACTTCTCCTTTCTGACCAAGGGCGCCAATCAGCACAACATGCCCAATCTCATCAACACAATGATGGAGCTGAGAAAGTGCTGTAATCACCCCTACCTGATCAATGGTGAGTTGGGGCAGTCGGGCATGGGCCTCTGTCAGAAGCTAGTCATAATCAAAGATCTCGTGTATTGAGCTTGCATCATGTGCTACAGTGTATTTACCCTCCAGTTTTTACAGAGTACAAATATGAGGTTCAGAGAAGTTGATAGATTTGCCTAAGCTGTCTAACTTAGAGGGACACAGAGCCAGGTTAACTTCTCCAGCTGTCTGTCCCCACAGTCTGTACTCTGCCTGGTAGAAGGTGGCCGTCCTTCATCAGATCAAGCTGAGAAATTTTTTAATAGTAATGTGATGTCGATTATCTGACCGCTAGTCTTTATGGGTCTTTTTTGTCAACTTCCTGGGGAGATTTCTTTACTTGAGTGAGTCACCTTAGGACATGGTATCTCAAATCTTCTGTCTACTTAGAGAGACTTCCCAGGAAAGCAAAGCACCCACATTCTCTGTAAGATGGCCCTGCTGCCTGCCACCACAGAGCCCTGTGCACAGACCTGGATGCACACCTAGGATCTCCTGTCTCATCTGCTGGTCCAGGAACTAACAATCCACATCATTTTTCCCAGGATCTCTCCCAGAAAGCAGATTTTACTTTTATCTAGATGTTCCTCCTACTGGGGATACATCCCAGTAAATCCATTGTAAGTTGAAGGAAGTTGAAAATGGATGTAGTACACTTAACTAACAAACATCGTAGCTTAGCAGTACAGGGCACTGTAGCCTATCAGCTGTTTTCCCTCCTGACTGGGTGGCTGGCTGGGAGCTGTGGCTCACCGCTGCTGCCCAGCATCTTCAGAGAATATCAGGCCATCTGTTGCCAGCCCCAGAAAAGGTCAGAATTCAAGACTGAGTGTAAAGTCAAACCATCTTCAAGTCAAGGAATATATTTTGTTCAAGAAATAGCTTTGCTCCATTCCTTTTCAGGGGCAGAGGAAAAAATTCTGGAAGATTTCCGAAAAACCCACAGCCCTGATGCCCCTGACTTCCAGCTCCAGGCCATGATTCAGGCAGCAGGGAAGCTGGTGCTGATTGACAAGCTGCTCCCTAAGCTGATCGCGGGGGGCCACAAAGTGCTCATTTTCTCCCAGATGGTGCGCTGCCTCGACATCCTGGAGGATTACCTCATCCAGAGAAGGTGAGGCCTGTGTCAGAGCTCTGCCTCCAACCCTGGGTGGTCCCTGTTATTTTAATATATCCTTGGTCTATTCAGAAATTACAGTGTAGCAACAAGAAGTCATGCAAAAATGGAGAAAGGGAGCCTCCTCAAAGCATGGCTAACATTCAGACTTAGATCTTTTGACCAAGTATACTCAAGTTCAGCCATTTAGAGAGAATTTCAGAGGGCCTGACATGAAGTCCTTGCTTTGCTTTAAAAAAAAAAATCCCACATGTCTGCTTATATTCTTTAGTAGGAAGAAACAGAATTCAAGTAGCATTAGGAAAAGTTAAGAAAATAATGTAATTACATTTTTGCTTCTTAAAAATAACGAGAGGAACACACCCTAGAAAGCATCACCTTATCAAGTTTCTAGTAGAGCTTAAGCTGACAACTCACAGAGAAGAAATTTGGGGTTATTTTATGTCTTTTCTCAGCAAGCCCCATAAAGTTTTATGATTTAGTATGTATGACATCCCAACTTATTTTCTTACTCATTCTTTGAACCTAAAGTCCCTCACTCATGCTGGCAAAAAGACCTTAATCTTAAGTAGGTTATTTGGATTTTGTGTTAGGAGTTACATTTGTTACTTCATACACTGTACCTTAGATTTTCAGTCATTATGATATGTTGGTGATCTGAAGAGGACAACTGAGTTTTTTAATATTTATTCTCAGGGGGCTGGCGTTGTGGTGTAGTGGGTTAAGCTGCTGCCACCCATGACATCTGCATCTCGTGTGGACACCAGTTCCTGTCCTGGCTGCTCCACTTCTGACCCAACTTCCCGCTAATGTACCTAGGAAAACAACAAAAGACCAGCGAAGTTCTTGGGTCCCTGCCCACCCATCTGGGAGACCCAGATGAAACTCCTGGTTCCTGGCTTCCACATGGCCCAGTCCTGGCCATTGTGGCCATTTGGGGAGTGAACCAGCAGATGGAAGATCTCTTGTCTCTCCCTCTCTTTGACTCTACTTTTCAAATAAATAAATATCAAAATTTATCCTTAAGAAAAAAGACTTTTTAAGATCACAGGAACCAGTAGCCTAGGCATTGCTAGGTTTGAAAGGAAATCTTTGTTTTCAGACAATAAAATCACAGTCATCTAGGGTGTCTTAACAGATGTCCTTATTCTTTAGGATTCTGTTTGCCCTTTAAATTACACGTACATATGTTTTATAGAAAGAATTTTAAAAGAAATAGATGTGCTGACATTTAATGTTGCATAAATAATTCTTCGAAGTCTAAGTAGACAATAAAAGAATTTCTTAGAGCTCCTATGGTAGAGATTTATATATAAAGAATTCTTGGGGCCAGCATTGTGGCCTTGTAGGTTAAGCCACTGCCTGCAACGCAGGCATCTCATATGGGCACCAGTTCAAGTCCTGGCTGCCTCACTTTTGATCCAGCTCCCTGCTGGGAAAGCAGCAGAGGATGGCCCAAGTACTTGGGCCCCTGCCACCCATGTGGTAAACCCAGAAAATGTTCCTAGCTCCTGGCTTTGGCCTGGCACAACCCTGGCTGTTGTGCCCATCTAGGGAGTGAACCAGCATGTGGAAAATCTCTCTTCTATCTTTCTCTCTCTCTCTCTCTCTCTCTCTCTGTAACTCTGCCTTGCAAATAAATAAAAATAAATCTTTAAAAATTCTTCTTTTTTAGAAAACCTCTATGAATAAATTAAAACTGATAATTTGTAGTTTACAAGTTCACTATAGTTTAGAAACCCATTGCCAAAACACTTTGTTTCTTATATTATCTTAATCTTTAAAATAGGTACTACTGTATATACAGATATTTTTTAACTCAAAAAAATGTAATGTAATTAACAGACTTGGTAAGGTAAGTACAAAACTCTTTAACTTCCTTTTATGCTATTTTTTCCATACCATTTATCGCTCATTTTACGTTAAAATTACTTAAGTGTTACAGTATTTTTGCAAATATGGAAATGTAGAATACCACCACTACAGAAGTTGTGCCAGAGGGCTGACCTTTTTCAGCCTTTTTTTCTTTCTTTCTTTTCTTGTTTGTTTGAATTGTGAAGATATTTTACAATCTACTTTACAACTCATTTTTATTCTAATATGTTATGAAAATTTTCCTTTATTTTTCTATGACAAAATTCTGATGGTCTGTATTACAGGTAATTTCCAATTTTCCAGTTCTGTAAGGGACTCTTGAATGAGTAACCCTTTATAGTCATTATGAGTGTTTCCAGTTATTTCCTTAGGATAAATTCTGATGTATATTTTTAAAAACATTTGCTAGATATTTCTAAAGCACCCTGTAAAGAGTGTTTTATTTGTATGCCTGTCAGTACTATATGAGAATGCTTTTCTGTGTATTCTGAGAAATACTGTTTTTGTCCTTTGAACTTTACTAGTTCAGTAAACTGAATTATTGTCTCTTATTTTAATTTCTATGTCTGATCACTAGTGAGGATGAGTTTTTTGTGTTTATTAGCTGTTTATATTGTTTTTCCTATTGATTGCCTATTCCTATTAATTTTTGTTCTCCCTCCATTTTCTGTTGTTCTTTGATTTTTTTGTTGATTTATAAAAATGGCTTATTTATGAATATATTGCATATTCTTTCTCCAGTGTTTTTTTTTTTTTTTGCCTTTCAACTTTGTTTATGAGTATGGGTTTTTGTTTATCTTATTTTTAGAAATTCTAAATGTTTATTAGTCAAATCTTTGTTTTAAAACAACTTTAAATTTAAATACTCATTTATGTTTAAATTTATGCTTCAGTGCTTGAGTTAATATGCTTGACAAGACTTCTTTCTCCTCACACCTGTGAGATCATGTGAAAATTCTGAAGTATTTTCCTTATACTTCTTTCGTGATCTCTTTACCCCCGCTGCATTGAACAGGGTTCCTGTGACCTTAGTATTTTCATTACGTTTCTCCTTTTAATGTAACTTTTATTTCAGCAGTTACACATATATACATTTTATTTTTTAATTATTTGAAAGAGTTACAGGGCGAAGTAGAGGCAGAGAGAGGTCTTCCATCCGCTGGTTCACTCCCCAGGTGGCCGCAACGGCCGGAGCTGAGCCAATCTGAAGTGAGGAACCAGGAGCTTCCTCCAGGTTTCCCACGCTGCTGCAGGGACCCAAGGACTTGGGCCATCCTCTGCTGCTTTCCCAGGTCATAGCAAAGAGCTGGATTGGAAGTGGAGCAGTACCCATATGGGATGCTGGAGCTGCAGGTTGGGGCCTTAACCCATTGCAACACAGAGTTGGCCCCTACATACATTTTCTTTTCTTTTTTTTTTAAGATTTATTTATTTACTAGAAAGAGTCACACACAGAGAGAAGGAAAGGCAGAGAGAGAGAGAGAGGTTTTCCATCCTCTGGTTCACTCCCCAGATGGCCACAGCGGCCGGAGCTGTGCCAATCTGAAGCCAGGAGCCAGGAGCCTCAAGCCTCCTCCGGGTCTCCCACGCAGATGCAGGGGCCCAAGGACTTAAGCTGTCCTCCACTGCTTTCCCAGGCCACAGGAGAGAGCTGATCAGCAGTGTAGCATCTGAGACTGAAACCCGCACCCATATGGGATGCCGACACTGCAGGCAGTGGCTTAACCTGCTATGCCACAGCACCAGCCCCCTTGCATACATTTTGAAAAGTCAAATCATTCTATTAGACTTAAGAAAAATTTCATTTCCTAATTTACTCCCCCTCTCCTCAGTTTCCTATAGCAAAAAAGCCATTAATTTCAATACTTTGTACAGAACAAAGTATTTACAGCTGTATGTCTAAATAGTAATGCCATTAGCTGTCTTTCCCGATATTTTTCAGTTTGGGGTGTTACCTGTTCGTACTGGGGAAGACACGTACTTGGCCCTCTTTCACTGACCCCACCATAACCACCACGTGCGCCCCTTCCTGTCCTCCCGTCTTTTCACTGTGCTGCATAATACTTGGGTTAGATTAATAGCCAGCATTTTTTATGACGAACAAAAATGCTGACTCACAACCCAACCATGTAGTGTGCTATTTGCTTTTTTTTTCTGTAGATCTTTTACTTTTCTTTTAACTAAAAGCTATCTTTTATCTCTTCTTTTTCTGTATGCTTATTACAGTTCAGCTGCACTTTCCTCAGTTGTGTGCATGGACTGTCCTTGTGTTCCAGCACACTGTTCTTTTCAGGGCCATTTCTCTGGGCGCCTGCTGACCGCCCACCCCGTGCCCTTCCCACCCAGTACTCAGCTGACGTCTGCGATCTGCCTGCTTTCATCCTACTGCCTTCCTTCTTCCGAGTCTGCTCTGTTGCTGGTGGATTTTACTGTTAGACAGTCTCTTCTAGCAACTTCTGAGAAAGGATGAATGATGGGTAAAGTGTGAGGCCTTGTCTGAAAATGTTTTTAGTCCACTCTCCCTCTTGAGTAATAGTTTGCCTGGATTTGAGTTTCTGGCTGACACCGTTCCTACAGAATTCTGACAGTTACCCCACCGTCCTCTAGTCTGCTGTCCCCAGGGTTGCCGGGGAGACATACAGAGCCCTTCAGATTCCTGGCCTATGATACACTTTTTCTTTTTAGAGGCTTGATATATTCTTTAGTCCCTAGCCCTATGAAAGTTACCAAAGAAAATACTTTGTTGTACTGGATACAAAGTAGATCTTTCCCATCTAAACTCTAAGTTCCTTCAGTTCCTGGGAATTTTCTTGAATTTATCTTTCATTCTTTCTCTTTTTTTAAGACTTATTTATTTATTTCATAGGCAGAGGCAGAGAGAGCGAGCGCGCGAGGTCTTCCATCCGCTGGTCCACTCCCCAGATGGCCACAATGGCTGGGGCTGAGCCAAACCAAAGTCAGGAGCCAGGAGCTTCTTCCGGGTCTCCCATGTGGGTGCAGGGGCCCAAGGACTTGAACCATCTTCTGCTTTCCCAGGCTATAGCAGAGAGCTGGATCGGAAGTGGGGCAGCCAGGACTCAAACTGGCACCTACACGGGATGCCAGCACTGCAGGCGGCAGCT